TCAGGCGGTTTTATTCTGGACCATCTGAAAAGAATGTGTAAGTCACAGTACATATAAAACTGTACATTTTATTGCATTTCAAGAAAAAACCAAACTTAATATCATGTTACTTGCTAAACGAAACGTATCTTCAAAAGCCACTTGATTGAAAGCTTTTTATAAAAAACATAGTTAAACAAAAGACACACGCATGAACAATTTTTCATTGGCTTTAACCAAAACAATTCCCCAAATTTATCGAAACTTCCTTCAGAGGGAGGAATCTCACTAATTCAGCCCCTTCCAGGATTTTCAAATTTTTCATTGGAGGTAAATACCGTGATGGTGCCCTTGTGTTCAGGAAAAGGATTCGTACTTGTGCTCGGTCTTTGTTCTTCCTTTTTGTTAACACTATCTCCTACTTCGATCATGTTCTGGATCTTATGCTTTAGTACCTTATGGGGGTAAGTATATGGAAAAATGGAAGTGGGGTAGGTGAAAGTCTCTTCGAGCATATTTAGTAACCTGGGTATGGATAAAGGAGGTGGCTAGTGTTCTATTTCAAGTTGACCAATAGCAAGGGATCATGCTGGACACCGCCACTACTAGCAACCAATTGGTCAATCATGCGCCTTTGAGCCGTCATCTCCACGCTCAATTCATTGAATTTGTGTAACATCTCCTCAATTGAGCTCCCAAATTTGCAGCATCTGTTGGAGGTGTTGTGGTGGATCTATCAGATGATTTCGGATGTGTGCTTATATTTACACGATTTCTCAAAGCTCGACTGCGAGATCGTATAACGATGGGGCTTCTTCTTGTAGCTATATTTGAAAAACACCTGACATTTTAGAAAACCCTATTTAGCATCATCTCTTGACCTGTTGTTGGCAAAGCAAAAAAAGAAAGAAAAAGAAAAAGACACGAGTTAGTATATATTGAGGTAATTTGGATGTATGCCCTATTGGGAACCCTTTTTACACCAAGGGTTTGCCTAGCATGAAAATACAATCCTTCAGGGTAGGCACTATACAATACCTAATGGATCCGATCAACTTATTGTCATTCAATTGAAAGGTAATTTGAAAATTTTGGCCAATTGAACGACAGGACATTTCTAGCCTAATAGAACAAGGGTAAAGTCCGAATGGATTGATTGTTTTGATTGATACAAGAATTTGTAAAAACACACTGATTTGACCTTGAAAAACGTTCTATCGGAGAGATTGAAATTTGTTGATAAATTTTCTCAATGAAACATGGATCGAACCCCAACCGATCAAATGGCTGGATGCAATGGATGGTTTTCTCAAAATCGACTAGGTTTCCCACTTTGAAATTTGACATTGAAACCCTAATTGGTCAAATAGGTTGAATAAAATGATGATTTGCTAAAAATAGACTGGCTCACCTAATCGATAAAAATCCTAATTTGACACTTTTGTTGCCAACGCATTAGTCTATAAGCCTTCTACAATCAAGATTTTGGCTTTGATTCATTTATTGTCTCAATAATGAGGAGTCATTCATGAATTTATTCAATTTAAGGCCCTTTATGCAAAGGATTTTACCAATTTGATAAAATGGGCCAAAAAAAATGAGTATTAGAGGCTCAATTCTAATGTACAAAAATCGCTCTATGAAAATGATCGGATTCTACGTTACCTTGTGCACTACCTCTCCGGATGTTACAAAAATGTAAACGTGCAAGTTTCCTTAGATTAAGTATCCGAGACAAAAGGGTGAATTATTCCTAATATAGGATTCCCTCTATAGTTTTATGCATGATGCCAGCTTATCAAAGTGATTGAATATGAAATATAACCTAAAAAGGACCCCTTTATATGTTGGGGTAGATATGCAATTATTAGACTACAAATGTAATGAATCAAAGTTTAAACGTGCCAGAACCTATCTAAGAAGCTAGGCTCTAAAAGAGTACCATGTCCAAACTCTTATTTTCTAATGTTTGTGAATGCAATAGATGAGAAAACAAGGAAATGTTAGTTCAGCACTAAACACGTTAAGCAATTAGATGATATCGAAGGCGAAAGGAAAGAGAAATAAGAAAAAGGGTGGAATCCCTCCATTCATGCCTAGTGTTCCTAATTAGGTATGGTCGACTCATCCTAAGCGATTTCTAATATGGATGCATGAGGTTTAGCTCACTAATATATCTAAACTCGATAAAGTTTTCAGGCTCCCAAACCTTCAAAGCAAAGGCGAAGGGTCATCAATCCAATGCCTAAAAGTCGATGGTTCGAGTGATCCCTCGGACATTGCTACGCGCACGTCGTGCTACGGCTACATGTCCAAGTGGATCAATCCTAATCCTAAATAGGGATGAGTGGTATGACAACCACTAAAAGTAAAAAAAAAAAAGATTAGGTGTTTAAAGTAAAACGTATGCATGTATGAAGTGCTCCTTTTGAAGGGAGGGATTTAAATACCATCAAATACGGTTGAAGGTTCTAGGTAGCTATCCCGTCCCACAAGATGCAAGCACGATATATAAACATAAGTGAATAAACACATTATTTATCACATTCACGGATATCAAGATAATTGCGCATGTAGAATGCGAGAAAACCTAAAAAGGAAAAATGCAACCTAAAACCTCCAAATATGATATATAAAAAGGTTAGAAAAAGAAAAGGATTGACTAAATCAAAAGCTCGGACTCTCTAAGTCCCCAACAAAGTCGCCAAGCATTGCGCCCCATTTTTGAAAATAAAATAACATGTTATAAAATGAATTTTTATTCAGTTTGAGAGAAAATGATGAGTTTTTTATTTTTAGAAAATAAATAAAGAAAATGGGCCTAGAATGGGACTAGAAAGTATGATGATTTTGGCCCAAATTAAAAGTTTAAAATGGTTTTTTAAGAAAAAATAGGAGCCGCCACTTGTATTGAGTTAAAGTGTACCAAGTCACCTAAATAAATTTTTTAAAGAAAAAGTAAAAGAAACCCTTTTTAAACGACTTCAAATCTGCAAAAATCAAGAGAAAAGGGGTTAGGAGTCACATTTGAAGAAAGGGAAGGTAAGGATAAAATCCAAAACACCCTTTCAACTCTGCCAAGGCTAGTTGCGTGATTTAGTCAAAAACTTTCTTATTTTAACTTACGAATTTATCATATTTGGATGTCACTATATGAATGCAAAACCTAACCCTAGGAGTATATCGGGGGGTCGAAATATCTTTTCAAATCTTAATTGGTGCAAATCACATTAATTATGATGCCCAAGTTGACTCTTTGAAGAGGTCACGAATATGCAAAAATATGAGACTCGAAGGAAAGAAAAGAAAATAATAATTATACAAATATACATGATCTAAAGGAATGCATCATAACGGGTGCGGGGGGCTAAAATTCGTGACTTTAATTTTTCCTTAATAGAGGGAATACGAGCGTGCTAAGATTTGAAAAAACCACACTCGTCCATATCCCATATTCGAGGGGTATTTTCCTATCTAATCAAACAAATGATCTAACCTAGTTCTAATTTTCTTAAATGGAATACAAGTCTAAATGTCATGTTTCACACGTAGGGATAAGAGATATATATACAGGGGAAATATGGGATAAAGGATATACATATAGCGGGAATATAAGATAAAGGATATACATATAAAGGAATGTCATGCAAAAATGAAGAAAAAAACCCTAAAAGGTAAAAAGTATACATGAAATGTAGTGATTTTGTTCACACAAATATGATCTAACACGAGAACGGTCCTTAAGGGTCTAGCATTGGACTAACCCAAGTCTATAAGTTCTCACTAGCATTGGACTAGTGAGAAATTAGAAAGGAGGGCCACAACTAGCATTGGACTAGTGTGGAATCGGAAAAATGAGTCACAACTAGCGTTGGACTAGTATGGTGACGTCATGCATTTATTATAATCAAGTAAATCACACAAAACATAACAGAGCAAATAAACACATGAATCACATAAAACACATTGCACATAAGCATGATATCTAGATGTAAGGCCCTAAGAAAGCGGCAAACACTTAAACACAAACATTCAAGCACACACAAGCAAATAAAGCAAATAGATACCTATCTATTACATTTGGAGACCCTAACTACAATCTAAAGGGGAAAAGAATAAAATAAATAATAAATAAATACCTAACTATTACAATTTGGTATTTAATCGCCTTTCAAATAATCAAAAATTAAAATAAATAAAGTGAATAAATAAATAAATGAAGTAATAAAAACATTCAAGAAAAAGCAAACAATTACACACACAAAATCACATAGGAGCACATAAGATCAAGTAAAATCAAAATATAGGAGTAGAGTGTACCTCCCTTGAATTAGTGACCTAATAAAATGAAATTTTTCTTATTTACCCTTCAAAAAAAGAAAAAGATCAAGGCATCACTTTAATTAACAAATAATCACATGAAATGGAAATAAAATTGAAATTGAATCAATCCTAGCATTCAATGAAAGTAAACAACCAATATTCAACAAATTAAAATAAACAAAGACTCAATTGAAAGAATTAAAGAAATTTAAGGGGGTCAAATCATTATTATTAAAAATATTAAGGGCAAAATTAGAATAAAATAAAGTTAAGGATTTAATATGAAGCCTACCAAAACTAAATGCTAAAAGTTCACAAAATAAATCAAGATCCTCTCATCAAACCCAAAACAATAATATTACCCAAATATTTAATTTTTTCACTAAAATCCAAATAAAACTATAAACCTAGCAAGAGTTATTAAACCTTCAAATTTCATCCTAAATCCACTAAAAATCTATCCAAAAATTTCATTAAATAATATCAAAGAAAAATAACATGTTAAAAGGATAAAATTGATTAAAATTTTCAATTTTCTGGCCATAGTAGAATAAGGGAAAACTTGAAGGGTTAAACTGCAAATTTTATGAAAAATTTCATGCGAGCTTCCAGCGCAATCTGCGATTCTGGGTTTATGATGCCAACTCTTTTCGTTCAAACACAACTCATGACTCAACCAGCTAAAACTTGAACCAAAGTGAAAAACAAACACCTAGCATTCTTTCCACTTTTTGACCATTGTTTAAATACAAAAATTCAGAGAAAAGAGAGCATGTCTGCGTTTATTCACTACTCAATAAACTCTACCAATACTCACCAACATTCGGCCTAAAGCAAGACTACAAAGCCTATTCTCTATCAAAACTTCAACATTTAAATACAGAAATTCTAACCAAACTGTTTAGCTATTCTCACGCAGGAAACAAAACGGCAAAAATGATAAATAAATAGTTTCGCACAAATGTGCTAGGTGATCAGCTGTTGAATATCTTGGTTGCTAGAAGAACCCCGTTAGTTGCTCTTAGCTCACATCTAAAAATCTGGTACAAGTACACAATCCTAGAACCCCATTCTTTGGGTAAAAAACCCTTCATCAATGCTGGGAGTTCTTCATAGGAACAGATATCATCGAGGAAAACTTTTGGCTGCAACAATGATGACTACAGATGCCCAGTTGGACTATAGTACCATAGAGGTCATCAGGGATTTCGTCATCCTCAAAACAAAACAAGCAGAGCACCTTGCGTGTATATTTCTGCTCCCGCCAAAATTGTCCCAAATCAGTGTATTCTGCTAAACAAGCAAGGAATTAACATGTTAAGGTACAGTTTTTATCAACATGGGCCTCCATGGAATCTCTTTCAAGTGTCTATTTGAAGAGATTTCAACTCTGAATTATTTTAATTCTAGCACACTTACAGAATGAGAAATACATACTGGAAACTAGAGGTGGCAATTTGGATTAAAATCCATTTATCCATCCATATAATCCATAATTAAATGGATTTGGATTATCCATTTATAGTGTTGGTTTTAAATGGTTCATCAAAGTAAAACCATTAAATTAAATGGATTTATATGGATTATCCACATAAACCATATATATCCATTTACTTAAAACCAAATAAAAGAAATGGACTTTCAGTCCCATTAATCCCCAAATCAAAGGTTTGTTTATCTTTCTTCATTCTTCCTTGTCCATACGCGTACAGATTCAAAATTATCAACATCGCTCCTCCAACTTGAAAGATGTTCTCGGCTACATTTTTTCATTTCCTGTCATGTGTTTTCTAGTGGTGATTCAACGTGGGCAACATTTCACTTTTGTGAGTTTCCTTGCAGAGGCCGTAGCCTACGAAAATCACAGGGCAATCCTCATATTCGACAGTCATGGAAGAGTTAACTCTAGCGCAACAGATTTACCGTTGCTCCTGTGTTGGAACAAAAATGTTGCAACGTTGATTCGTAAATGATCACGCAAGGGAACAGAAATCAACATTGCTGTTTTACAAATATCACGTCGTGGAATTGCAGAGCTCTTATATAGTATTAATTAGTACTTTTGTTTATCAAGAAAAAGAAAACGAAACGCTAGTAGTACTTGTGTTCATGGAGTTCAAACTTGAGTTTTAACAGCTCGAACTGCTTCACGAATTTAGTTTCAGCCTAGCATGTGAAGTTTGAAAGTTCGTCGAATTTAATCGAACTTCATACACACACACACACGTGTATATATATATATATATATATATTATTTATTAGTATAAAATGTCTATTATATCCCTTGTTTAAAATAAAATTATATGACCTCCCTCCTTTGATTATGATGTGATTCAGTCTCCATTAATCCCCATTAATTACCATATGGTTATTTGTACAACAATCTTCATGGTTAGTTCCAATATTTTTGTAATTTATTGATTTTTGTCATTTTCAACACCTAAAATTTACAAGTACATAAAAAGTATCTTCATATTACAAGAAATGATAATACAAAAAAAAGTAATCAAAATATTTAAATGGATTATAAATGGATAATTGGTTTTTATTTAATCCATTTAGATCCATCCATTTAGATCCATTTAATAAATGGATCTAAATGGATTGGATAAATTTAATCCACCATCCATTAAGTCAAAACCAATTATGAACCATTTATCCATATTGCCACTTCTACTGGAAACCATATTTTGTCAAGTATATAGCACTGGTCCAAACGTCTTAGTAAACCCTTCCAATAAGCAATGCCACCTCCCGTAGTAATTTCAGCTCCTCTCTAAAATTGAATGAATTGTAGATATCATCCTTCAAATTCCTCTATACAACAGAAACCAAATATTACAAGTGTGTGTGAGGATAGAAGATTATTTGGAAAAATTACAATTGCTACAGATGATGAGCATCAAAGAAATATGGTTCGGCAGTAGTATTATCGTAATCATGAAAACCAAGCAGAAAAATCCATCTTCTTGGCATGCCTTTTAATATCTTTCAGTTGTCTTGACGACAACAAAAAAAAAAAGGAATTTGCTACAAATTCCAATATTCATCACTTTGCTTAATTACATTCGCTAGTATTATAAATTGATTAACTAAGATAAGTCTGACAACCAAATTCAATGAATAACTTTGCACTACGAAGTCTTTACAGTTTAAGACATCAGAAGTAGTCAAAGAAATTATACACAGACAAGCCAAGGAGAAGAAAAGCGAAAGGAAAAGGAAAAGGATGATGAAGCTTTTGTAATATAACGACCAGAGAACAAAGCAGGGCACACCTTGGACTAACTTGTTTCTCATGTTATGTTTATTTTTTTTCCCAATTGCTCTTTACGTCGTATAGATAAGCTTATGATACAAATAAAGGGCCTACAAACCAGTGTACAACAGTGTCCATATTGCACCCTAAATTTTTTTCATTTCCACTTTGCACATCAAAGTTTAATTTTGGACACATCATCTTAAAGTTTCTGATGCATATCCATTTTCCCCAAATCACTGAAAATGTAAACAAAAAACAAGAATTCGTGCATCTGAACTTCACACCAGTCTAATGTGCATGGTTATTTTTCATTTCCTGAAACTGGTTCCAACAGTTGAAGCTAAACTGATGGTCAGATTGATTTGGTTGACCTTTTAAACCACTGGATGCAACCGGAATACGTGTTGATGTAAGACAAGATAGGTAATATCTTACCTATCAGCATCAGTGGAAGAATGGTAGGATATTGGGGCCACGAACCATGGGGACAAAGAGGTCAGAAAAACAAACAACAAAACAACTAATAAACCAGAGACTTAATTCTTCAGTGTAGCATATGTAGAAACACAGGTACTTATAAGCTATAAACTTTCTCAAAACTTCCATTTCCTATTTTAACAATTGGTCGAATTGGTTACCTAATATATAAATGCCTAAAAAGACTCAATGATGCTATTACTGAAAATCTACTGCAAACAAGTAAAAAACGAAAATAGCCCAAGCTCCAAAATCCTAGAAACTACTAAAACTTAGGTAACGAAACCATAATGAACATAAATAAACTTCAGGAAAACCACAAAAAACCTGGAAGCCCAGATTTCCTTTAACTCTTTATTGACTGCATTATTGTCCCTGATTGGATAAATCTCAACCTAGAGTTTTAAAGATTCGTAGGAGGAAGAACTTGAAGGTCTGGAATGAGCTGAAAGAAGAATTGCAACTCCAAGAACTACTCTTGCCGTGTACTTGAGGGAGCAACAGTTAAAGCTGGGGCTTTGTAGAGTGAATATTGCTGAACTCTCCAAGGACCAAGTGAATTTTTGGAGTGAATAGGCTAGAAAAATTCTTAGCATTGTTCCAAAACTTGCAGATCTATGATGCTACAAAGCCTCTTACTGTCTTTCATATGGTTGATTGCAGCAAACTCATCCAGCTTTAACTGCTTGACCTGCTCAGCTGAAATAGTGGCCTCCACTTAATTTCTACAACTTCCTTCACTCCAGAATCCTCGTATGCGTCTTCAAAAGTTTTTAGAGCCACTTATGTTTTCTCCTCAACAACTCGTCAAGTTCAATGGTCAAGTTTGAAAGTTCAGGCACTACCACCCCAATCGACTGCCTTCCCAGCAATATTATCGAATCTTCTAGCCATATCGTCTAATTTAGCAACACAAGATTGTAAAGCATCAAATTTTCTATCAGATACTTGCACTTTAAATTTGAGCAAAGAAACTTCATTTTGGGTACCCTCAAAGTCTTTCAAGAAAGGCCCAAACTTTGAGGAAGTTTTGCATTGGTAGCCATATTGATAGAACAAAAAATATGCCTGAACAAACAAGAAAGTTTGGGCTCTTGATACCCAGCTGATGTCGGACAAGATAGGTGAGATCTTGGGTACTAGCAATAGCAGAAGAGTGGGAGGTTTGAGGGGCTGTGAAGAGTACTCTTGAAAGGAGCATGGGAGAAATAAAAAAGGGGAAGCAGGAAAAAAATTTATGGGGGCAAACAAAAAAAAAACAAAATAATAAAGCAAAATGAAATTCTTATTCATCAATTTTTCTGCATAGATTAATGTTAAAAATAGTAGTTATGAGCAACAAACTCTCCTAAAACTCCTATTTCTTCATGTAAAATAGCAAAGTATATTGTTAATAAATCTTTACTTAGGAACTTTCCTATGACAATTGACTCCAATTAGTTACCTAATATTATAAATAACTAAAAGAGGTTCAATGACACAATTGCTGGAATTTCCTGCAAACAAGTAAAAGACAACCAACATTCTAGGAACTGCTAAAACTTAGGGATGAACCAGGCTGTTAATATTCACAGGATGTGAAGTTGAAACTTGAGGAAAATCATAAAACCTTTAATTCTAGATTTGCTTGATCTCTTTTTTGACTGCATCACATGTAGAAGTTTAGGGTGCAAATATTCCAACTTCAAAATCCTAGTTGCAAAGTGAAAACTATTAATGGTAGAAAGTGGAATTCATCCGGTGAAAGTCTTAGTACTTGCATGTTGTGGTGGACATAAAATTCAAGGAACTTGAGAAACTGCAAATATGTTACCTCAACTATGGTATGATGCCACCATAAGATGATTGCTCACATTAGGCAGATTATACAGATGGATCAATTTTCAAATCGTTGAAATATGCAGGAAATCCTCCAGTTGGATTCTGTGTCCCAAATCACAATACTGTTCTTTTATCCAATTCACCTGCATAGATCCTAAAAATTCATTAGTTCCTGAAACACCAAAAAGGCAATGCTTTTACATAGTAGTTTGCTTCTTTTATTGGTCTTCTCTTGTTGTAACATCAGAGATCTGTTCTATAACTCCTCTAATGAAACAAAAAAGAAAGTTTCATAAATTCAACCCTCTTTTTGTCAATGTCAAAATGTTTGACCCTTAGTCTTATATTTCATATCTGATGGACTACATGGTCAAGAAGCCAGATCCATGCCTCCTTCCTGTACATAACCTCTCTTGTGTCACTAGCATACACTAGGCAGAAGACATGTTGATGTAGCCAAACAGCTCAAAGCACAGAACAACTTATAAGTTTTTGCAATTGCATTCAAGCATTAGGTTCACATACCTAGGAGATACAAAATACTTTAAAAGTTTTTATTTTGTTAGAATATTTTAGTACAATATTGAATTGGTTATTTTGGAATCTTCAGCAATATCTTGTCAACAAATCAAATTAGTAATTTAGTTATCATTTAAATTTAGAAATGGAATCATATTCTTTTGACGTACATCCAAAAAAAGAGAAGAAATAGGTCTATGAGCGTATAAATAATGTACTCCTCCTCCAAAAGAGATCGAAAAGATTTCATTTAGATAAACCTGCACATTGTAAGCATCACCATCAGCATTCTGCTATGCATCTTTCCATGGATGCAACGCCTTAAGTTCAATGTTCAAGGTTATCAGGATGATTCCTTGAGTTTTCTTCTTCTTTCATTGAAGTTTAAAGCAATTCTTTTGTAATTTAAGTGCACTTATACCATTCAATAGCAATTGAGCTACTAAATTATCAGCATACCAGCAGATTTGTGCTGCATCACATGCTAATCTTTAATGCCCATCCTTTTCACAAATACAAACATAATAACATGCTTCAGTCCTTGTAACCACAGTTGCAATTTCCTCCCACAAACAACGGCAAAACAAAAAAGCACAAGCGAAATGGACAAACGAAAAAGAACAAGAACATGAAATTGTCATACCTAACAGGTGCTGAAGGCATCAGACATTCTCATGCTGAAGAAGCAAAACCTTCACTTGCCATTATCCTTTAATAATCTTCAAGTAGGAGTATATTTCTTCTCTCACGATCTGAAGCTGCTCTGTTCACAGTATATCTGAAAATTATGAGCATTTTACCCACAAAAACAACCTGATGATATGCCTGCTACTTATTTTTGCTTCAATGGAGCACTAAATAAACAGAAGAAATACTACATCCAAGTTAAAATAGAAATATAAAACAAACACAGACCTTCCAGCATTCCAACAAAAAATGACCAGAAGCTAGTCCTTCAGATCTTGCAAAATGTAATCCGCTTCATTCATATATCACTCCTCATCCAATTTGAGTCCATCTAGCCTGACAAACCAAAACAGCAAACTGATTGCTACAGGAAACTGCACTAACAATCTCATTGTGATGCCCAACAGATCTACCTGACACAAGACACCACTGCATCTGGGGTCAGGTTCGAATCAGTTGTAAATGCACTCAAAATTGCAGGAAAACAGAAAAATCAATGGAAAGAACAAGTCATCCACCATAATTAAATAAAATAAAGCATTTCCTAAGCATGGTAATATTGCAGATATACATTGTCATTCTGTACAATTTAACATTTAATTGAGCAACTTCCCCATTGCACATGAAAGAGCAAGACAAAAAAGATGAACTGAAATGAGCATTATAATTATGAAGTCTAGGTATCTCATCCTTTGCCAAAAAGAGGGTGGGGACTTTACAGTTCAGGAGTCTTTCCCAAATGGCCCACAAAGCACTGTATTCCATGCATTTTATTTTGATGACACCCTAACCATAAGTTTTGACTGCTGCACTCCCAAACCATGCATTTTTATAAAGTTTCCACCTTGACTAAAAGTGTAACTTGGGTCTGACCAAAAGTTCACTGCATGAGATGGTTACCTTTTAATGTACCATATTATTTGTGTACTTGATCCATCTAGAGAGCATCCAATGAGCCAATATGGCAATAGACCCTACTTGCAGGTTCTAAAGCAATGTCGCTGAGTATCTCTGAAGAGATTCAGTCAACATCGTCCTTGATCTACTCCAGCTTGCCTGAGAACATTCATTGTATTATTTACTCATAGACTTGTAGAAAAAATCAGAAAGAGGAGGTAGTCAAATCCATTGACATAAATCATTCAACTTCAGTCATTTAACATGCGACCCGAAAATTTTTCCACAATTTTTTTATAAAAGCTACAAAAACCTACCACACTTATTGGCAGTTCAGTCTTCTTGCGCAACTGCAGAAGGTTGTGCAAACGACTGACTAAAGAAGTATATATAGCATCATCTACTTTAAATCCTGTTTGCAACATGTTATCGCATAACTTGAAGGCCTCTTCTATTTTTTCTCTTTACAAATCCATTTGTTAGTATACTGTAAGTGACAGAATCTGGAATTCCATTCTTTACCATCTCAGCAAGTAGGTGAGTTGCTTCTTTCATATTCCCAGACCTACAATACCCATCAATAACTACAGTGTAGGTAATCTCATTAGGGTGAATGTCACATAAAGACATTTCTGCAGGAGTTTCCTTGCTTCATTCATTTGACCTAGCTTACAGTAGCCACCAATTAGTGCAGTATAACAGACAACATTAGGTACCAAGCTGTCCGTTCTCATTTCATCAAAAGGCTTTGGCATCCTCAACACAACCAGTCTTGCACATTGCATGTATGAGACAAGAATAGGTAGCACATGTAACTAGGATGCCTTTGATTCTCATTTCATCACGCAGTTTAATAGCTTCTGTTACTCCATTTCTACAATAACCTCCAATCATATATTATAAATAATGGAGTTTAACTCAATATTGTGTCTGCCTCACTTATCAAAGAGAATTCTGCCCTCTTCAACTTTCCATCTTTGCAGAATCCATCTATCATGATCCCATGTGTATAGGCATCGGAACAAGGCCAATCCTTTCACATTCATTCCAAAGCATCATTGCTTCCTCAATCTTCCCTCCTCACAAAGCCCATGCATCAGTAAATTGTATGTAACAATGTCCGGTACAATCCCCGCGCTTAACCATTTCTTCTCTGAGTTTAAATCCACCATCCAACTCTCCCTCTCTGCACCAACCATAAATGAGTGTGTTGTAAGTGATTCTGTCTAGTGGCACATTTCTTTCTAACATCTCTTTAAGAAGCCTAACAGCATCCTGCATCCTACCAGCTTCACATAGTCCATGAATGAGAGCATTTGAGGCTACTGTATTGACTTTAAAACTTTTCTTCAGCAGCAGGAACCAAAGCTCCACTGCATCTGAATGTTCTTGTTCTTGCAGAGCCCTCAATTAATCTGGTCAGTAATGTGTCATTTGGTTTCATATTTCGCAATATCATTTCCTTTGTGAATCGTAGCGCAGAGCCCAGCTGTGACTTTTTACATAACTCATGAATAAAAGAAGTAAAGCCACCAGCATTCATGCACAACCCTTCCGATAACTTCTCCTCTACCAGCTGTACAGCTCGATTTTGATTTACCTTGCAGAACCCACTGACAAGAGAACCAAGAGTAACTGAATTAGGAACTAAGCCATGAATTATCATATTATCCCTTAACTCTATTGCACACTGAATGTCTCCAATTCTGCAATAACCATCTATGAGAGTGTTATAAACAATCTCAATTTGGCACAAATCCTGTGTCAATCATTTCCTTCAAAAACAATGTTTGCTTGATCAAAATTCTCAAGTTTTACCAAAGCATTAATAAGCGTACTGTACGTAACAATACTAGGTTTTACACCATGTTAACCATTTTCTCCTTGAATTCAAAAGCTTCCTCTACATTGTGATTCTCGCACAGACCATGAATAATATTATTATAAGTAACAACATTTGGAGCAACACCCATCTCCTCATTTTTTGAAACAACCTCATTGCATCCTCAACCCTTCTTCCTTTACAATATGCATTGATGGCAATGCTAAACATAAAAACATCGGAACAAAGCCTGAGCACAGAATATCAAAAGCCTCATAACTCTTGTGAAGCTCATTCGCTTTGACAAGAACTCAACACAAAAACACCCGTTCTCAAAGAGGGAAACAACCCCCTTCTCCGCCAACATACAAATCACATCCAATGAAGAATTCAAGCCACCCGAAACCTTAATTGAGATGCAAAAACATGAACCAACATGTCAAGTATCCTAACATCAACCTGAGAATTTCCCATACTTAAATCAGCAAATAAAGCAGCGAGCTCCAAATGCTTACCGTTAACCATGACCATCATTAATCTTCAAATTATCACAAAAAACACTCAATTTTCCATCGATCAGCCTTATCAAAAACAACCGGGCAGCTGAGTCAAGGTTGAAATAACAAGGAGACGAATCAAGATACAAACGATCTAAACTAAATCTAAAAACCACAAGAATTCGACGAAAAAAAAGAACTTCAAAGCAGCTAAAGGTTTCACAGTCTGATGAATGTCAAGGAAAATACCCTCAAATTGCAAAGGAGACAAAAGGTCAGCAAATCTTTACACTTGGAAAAATCTAAACGCTCTTTTTGATAAAATAGAACTAACCCACTTCGCCAAATTGTTTCGTTCACCAATTCCAACCTTTTCCTTATCGATCCATGTTTCCCTGGTAAAGGCTTAGACTTTGGTATTGCTTAGTCAGCTGTGGCTTCTGATGTTGTTGCTGTTGTTTCTCGGGTTGGTTGTACGGTTAGAATGGATATTGTCTTGGCTGTTGATGTAATTAAAAGGCGATTGATAGGTGGAAACAGCAACTTGTAGCTTTGTGAGCTCTCAGTCTTGTAATGTCCATTTGAATGTGTGGATTGATTATTGGGTGTGTACTATGTGATAGTGTGCTTTTGGGAAGAGGATGTCTGAAGGGGAAAAAATGGTTCCTTCTAGGCAGAGAGGAACGAAGTGAGAAGAGCTAGGGTTGGCGGTGGCGGCGGTGAAGACCCTGGATGGCAGAGTGCCATCAGGGGAGGTGCGGTTAGACGAGGAAGAAGAGCGACGCAGAAAGAAAAAGGGAAGTTAAGGCGCGAGAACTCTGACCGGCTACTTTAGGGCCACGATCGCATGGGCCAAGATGAATTCCATTTTTTAACCTTTTACTCTTTTTCTATTTGGTTAGATTGGAAAATTAGCTGTTTAGGTGCTATTAATTTACATTTCTTTAAATTTTGATTGTTGTAAATTAGTTTACTGAAATTAAACTATAGTTGAGGGGAAGAAACTAGGATTACACATTGTTTATATAATTTCTTCTTGGGAAATTTTGTGAGATGGAATGCGGAAAATATACCTTTTTTATATAAAACAATAATCAGTTTTATTTATAAGAAAAGCGTGCGTACACAATAAGGACCACAATCACACATACCCATCCATCTCCTACGAAACGATGGAAACCCAACCTATCCATTCAAATATCTCTCTGACCAATCCTGGGAGATCGGAAAACTTATTAAATACCTGCCTACTGTTGAGTCTACACCACCATTTGCCAGGCGGTCCGCTGGCAAATTTGCCTCCTTGTAATAGTGCGATATCGTTCGAAAGTGGTGTTTAAACTGAAGCAAGTCATCCAACTCCCTCTGCAAGTGCCAAGGGCAAGCACTATCCCTTGAACGATGCGAACAAGTGTAAGCGAATCTGTCTCCAAGTGTAACTCCAAGTACCCTCGGGCAATACAATATTGGACGCCTAACAGGAGTGCTCGCAACTCAGCCTGTAGACTGGTCAGCATACCCAAAGGCTCCGAGTAACCAAATACAAAATTTGTAAGGTTCGAAAACAACCAAGTGAAAGAGATAAATAATGTAAAGATCACAACGTAACAATAAGTAAATAAAAGGAAAGAATTACAAACCAATTAACTACCCAACTCCTCTTGAACTTGTAAATTAATTCAAACAAACTTCTCAAGTTGATGAATTACAATCACTCTTGTGTACAAATGAAGGTTCACCTCCTCCTTGCCCGAACTCCACTCGGCCAAGTTAGGACGTTTTACTATCCCTCAGGACAACCCTCTTAGAGCTACACTCATGAAGTATTCACTCACAAATGAAAAGCTTACAATAAACCTCACACCACTAAGGCTACAAATCTTCCTTGAAGAGTATTTTCTCACTAAAATCACTCTAAATCTTTTGTATCTTCAATTTACAAAAGTTGTTTTATGTATCTGACCGACCACTATTTATATAGGACCAAGAAAGTGCCTTATTAATGTTTTCAACGGATAGAAAGTAGCTAAAGAGTCAACTAGCCGTTGGAGTATCGGACGTCCAGTACTCCTGTTTTCTTGCGTCCGACAGCAGACAGTGAGTTTGAGAAATTTTCTTCAATTCTATCGGACGTCCGGTGCAAGCTCTTTGTGCGTCCGACAGCAAGCAGAGAGATTTGAGAAATCATCTTGTTTCTATCGGACGTCCGGTGGAGACATATTTAGCGTCCGATGGTTTCGTAGACTTTGAAGGATCCTATCGGACGTCCGAAGCATGCGTCCGAAGTTGTGCAATGATTATCGGACGTCCGGTACTCTCATCACAAGCGTCCGACAGCTTTCAGCAACCTTTGTCTTCTTTCAATTGCACTTGTTCATGGAATCAAATAACTTCATAACTGAAAGTATATCTTGAAGAAATATTAGTATCATCCATTCGTTTTGTAAACATCAAAAAATAGGGATCAAAATCAACAAAATTCCCATGAGAATCCCATACCAGCCCATCCCACACACTTAAACTGGGTTTCCTCGAGAACACCTATCTGAATTCAACTTCCACCCTTCCTGCGGAGACACCCATCTCACCGGTTGAATGTGCATCCTCCCCTGTCGACTTACCACCTCACGAAGCAACCCTTCCCACGAAGTTTCCACCCAACGCATCCTCGGGAACCGTGTCTGAAAGATTTCAACTAGAAATTGTGTGACGCCCCCACTTCTCCCTAAGACGAACCAAAGGGTATTCATGGGACGCCTGCCCAACTCTCGCTAGGACTCACTATAATCTACAATTCAAAAGGTCGGAATACTTCAATAATATTTCAAATAACTTCAA